TTTGCCTACGCTCAGTTCTATATGAAATACAAAGCTTGTATTTTTGAATGCAACAGAACTTCAATCATACGGAACCCAAAGAATAATAGTAAATACAAGAAAAAAATTGATAATGATCGATAGTTGGCTTTAATTTATTCATTGAAGAGAATTACTTGTAACATCTTTGATGCTCTGTTTTTACTGAAACCATTTATTTAATGTATCATCCCATTTTTTCTTTTTGTATAGGTTTTTGGTAGTAAAAATCCATGGTTGTCGTGTAAAAATGCTCATAGCATGTAAAAATCATGATAAACGACACGTTCATGTCACATGGAAACTCGTTACGGTTTCGTATTCACTATTCATTTGGGTAATGTGCTTCAATACGTGCAAGTTTAAAGTCGCGCCGGATATATTAGGTCCATGATAGCACCCGCCATTAACAAGTTAACCGTGTTCCGGTGTGAAGCGCGGAATTGCCAATGTAATTACCGACCGGGAATTGCGTCCATCGTACAGTTTTAAGGTTTAAAACACAGTTTATGGTGCTGTAATATCGAACATTTTGTTTCTGTAAAGGCGTGAACTATGGAGGCTCTCAAAGTCCAAAAGCTTACGTGATTTTTTTTTATTTATCACCATTTACTTAGTGACTTAACGTGAATCATAAAAATTTAAGATTAACCACCTATACACCGAAATCATGCTCTTAAAGTAACATACATATAAGGTACATTTTATTTCAAATTTTAAAATTTCATCCGGATGATTAATAAATGAGTTGATGTCAATGCAAACAACACTATGCTTTAGCGTTTTGATTTAAATAACGCCATCTACCGTTGCAACTAAAAAAACGCTCGCTTTTGAAAACATTGCTGAATATTTGCAACGACGAAATTACTTTCAAGCGAAGTTTTATTTTTAACGCGTTCTTGGTAATAAAGATTAAATAAATGAAATATGTCAACACATTGAATTTTAAACCTTAATATCCCATAAAAAAGCAAACAACTTTACGAACTATCTAAGGATAAAATCTTTTTAATTTTTCTCTTCATCTAAATCTGTACATATAATGAAATTGGAATGTATTTAAATGATGTATTTACGCTGCTGTAACAAGTGCATAATTATTAAATTCTGCGGTGACGAAGTCGCGACTTGTTTTAAATATATTGTCTGAAGATAACTAATTCGTGAACTGTAATTTGAATTAGGATACAAATTGTAATTAGTGTAACCTTCTACAGGAGTTGTGCAATAAATTAAGCAATATTCATCAAATAATAACATTATAGAAAAGAAATTGGAACGATACATAATATTCACAACTGGAGAGAAACAACACATTGAAATTCTATCGTTGCCCTTTGTTTAAATCTATTTGAATATCGCTCATGTTTACATGAATTAACGTCCATCAAACTGAATTTATATTCACGGCTGTTGCAACACAAAACATAAAGATACAATTTTCAAATTCGATCTGTTTACGAAATGCAGTCCAACATTTACTTAACGAGTGTGTAAAGTTTTTGTTTACGCTAGATACATAATCGAAATATTACCGTTCAACTGTGGAAACACCGATACAAAAATTTGTTGCCAACCTACCTCTGTTTTATTGAAAAATTTAAAATAACGATATGCTAGCGTCAACAAAAGTATTATCCGAGTATGCCTTTTTTGACTGATATTCTATTTTTAAAAAAATGCGAGAAAAAGATTTATCATTTCATATATTTTATCAAAATAAACTAAAACTCCTTGCAATAAAATCTTATTCTGCGGTAGATATCGTGACTTTAGTATTTGATACAAGGTGTAAAATATTTTAGTAGGACAAGAACGTATCTATCGACGTCAGTATAATACTTTCATTACAAAGGTAAATTTGATATCACATTATGGGAATATTATAATATGGACCTACTACAAGTTTCACTTATGCAGCATCTATCTATTCAATAGTGATTAATGTTCAATGCGCAAGAACCTGGCGTTGTATGAATTAATCTACGTAAATGTAGGTACAATAACAATGAGTTTTTCTGTTGAGCGTGGAAAAATACGAGAAAATAGCGAAAGGCAGTTGTGAAAGTCAGCCGTGCACGACGGAAGCGTCGACTATGTAGGGTGACCATGTGTAACGAGATGAATTACGAGAAATTGTAGTACCAAGACGGGCGTGATCTAGGTCAGAAAATCTGACCAAGCAACTATTTATATGTTTTCTTGGAATTTAAGTGTTGTTAGTTAAATAGAAATAAAAAATCCACAACTAACGACAGTACAAGCTTTACAAAGCCTAATTATGACTTGACCAGCGATATTATAAAAAAAATTAACAATCAGACTACGGCACATTCTAAAATCATTAATGATGTTAGAAACTCGATCAAGTTATAGGTTAAAAAATCAATTACGGTCCCCAATTTTTACTAATTGTAACAGCCAGCAAAAAAAATGCAATTTATTCAAAAGTTTATTATGTATATAATATTTATTAGCGCTTCCTCCAGATACACTTTTGAATTTTTAGTATTGACAAAACTAATACTACATTTTATGTAAGAAAAAGCCAAACATTTATATATTAAAGTTTGATTGTAGAAACCTTATAAATAAGTAATAATACAGCAGACGGTACCGACAACCTAATCAAAGTTTAAATCCGATGAGCCGAGATAAATAATAACTTTCATCTCTGGAACCTCATGTACTACGAATTATTGATAAAATGCCCTTATCAAACGAATATAGACCATCTGTCGATGTAATAAATGCCTTTTATGTTCACATAATAATCGTCCCTAACTTCGTTAACTATAGCATGTACCGTTAGTGAGGTTTAGAGAGGCGTTGTGCCCTGTACCTTTGTGTAACTTATAACCTTGAAGCAGGTCATTGAACTTATACGGAAACATGAGATAGTAAGGCGGTTGGTCGAGCTTTGTGTTCTATTTCATCTAATAAATTATCTATAGAAACATTAACTGCTACTCAGAAAAATAAAAGGGAACTTTCGTTTAGATTTACTACGATATATCTATACTAAGGAAATGTTTAAGTAATCATTAAACGATGAGTTCGTTAGTGAGCAAGAAAATATAAACAAATTTGTTTGTTAAAATGATACATAATCTATACATAGGTATAATAAAATTGGAGTTGTAATATCAAAAGGAGAATACCAGATTTCGGGAAGATTATGTATATCCGTTGCTGATAACGAAAGTTGCATTTTTTTTGTCTGTCTGTCTGCCCGCAAGCCACGTTTGTTCCGGGTAACCTCCGAAACGGCAGAGCCGATTTCGACCGGACTTTTACTGAAGGGTAGCTGACAAAGACGGGCATATTATCGGCTACTTTTTTATCTTCAAATTGCGTGGACAAAATCGCGTGCAACAGCTAGTTTTGTATATAATTTTCTATACAGCAAAGTTAAATTTAATCTCATAATGTACAGTGTTAAGTCGCATAACTCTATTCACTTGCGAACATACGAGATCCACATTTGTTAACGGACTTAGCAGTAATGAAGAGGGCCCGGTACTATAACAGAAAGTAGAGTACTGGTAGAATTTGGTTTTATAAATCGTACTCGTATTTACATGATCTTTAATCTTATTTCTTACTTAATATTATACATGGATAATTTTAGATGGATGCTTGTTGCTACGAATCTCTAGAACTGCTCAACGAATCTCACTAAAATTTGGCATATACGTAGAAAATAGTCTGGAAGAACACATAGCTTGTAATTAGGCTTAATCCTGCGAAAACGATGACGTACAACAATAACATGTTGAGATACATACAGACGAAGAAATAATTATTACATAAATAATAACTTTTCGAGATATAATTTGTTATGTTTATAGTTTGTTAGTAAAAAAACTTGGATAATTGTTTAAATCTAATTTGTTGTTTAAGTTTAAATAGAATTATAAAAAAATCATTTTGTTGTACACATTTGTCAAATTATCAATTGCAAATGTCAAAATGACATGACATGTCAAACCATGGCAACCTTGCTTCCTTGATGTTGGTAACAACTTATGGTCTCTTTCCCACATTAGGGTTTTTATCCAAAATATTTATTGTTAAGCTTAACGGCGTGAAAATATATAACCTAAAGCGTGACGTAAGTGTAGGGCTTTTTATTAAAAAAAGAGTTATTTGAAAATATGCTGTGATTGCTGACATCTTAGGCAACAAAGAAGTGTGTGTTTACGCTTTGTTATAATAGTATAGATAAGCTTTGGACCAAAAAAAGCAACAAATAAGACTTACACTTTTCAAGAAACTCTATAAAGTGCGTTTGCATTATGTTAGTTTTAATATAATAAAATAATTCTTAACTTTAAAAAACATTAATATCTGTTAGTACGTTATTTATTGTGAAATTTCATGGTTTATGAATTTATTTTTGAATTACTTCTCGCAGTTACTTTTTTTTTATAAGAATTTACGAATAATTTAAGCGAATGTTCAGATTTATATCTAGTTTTTCTGCGCTTGCTTACTGTCAACTTTTCTTAATTATTCTAATGCAAAGTTAATGCTTCAATTTCTTAAATGTGCGCATCAGTGGTTTTGCGAAATCTATAAAGGAATAGCTCGGCTAAAGCGAAAGACACTATTCAATATTTTAAGTATGATTTGCGAATTAACTATTATTATTATTTTTATTATTATATTAAATTAAATTATTGTATTTATATTTAGTGGCTATGTGTATATTATTTATTTTATGTTGTTATATTAGATGCCTTTTATTACATGCAAACACTTTTAATCTTAAGAAAATTCCGAATTAGAAATGTTAGTACTTTATTTAATAAGTACAAAGTGCTAAAAAAAACATGCAAGATCGCTGCAAGCCGATCCATTAATCCAACAGTTATATATAAATTGTAAAATAATCAAATTGAAATAAGTGCTGGATAGAAAATCATGGGACGACTGCGTCATCTATAAGTAACAAGAATATTTTAAAAAACTTTCAGACATGTTACGAAATGGAGCGGTACCTTCGAGAGGAGCCCCGGGGGAAGCGCGTCGAGCCGGCCCAGGAGGAGCCATGGGCGAGGGCGCAGGTCGCGTCCCCTCCCTCGCCGCATTCATCACCCCCCCAGAGAGTTTACACCGTCACCGTGGTGAAGACTGAACCTCAGAGCGATTCCGACGAACCTAGAGGTTAGAAAACTAATTAAGTCTTCGTTTTCATAATTCACTAATGCTGTACTAGGATAAAATAATAACCTTGTTCTTTAGTCCGAAAATTTGATAATACCATTTAAATTACTCCTTAAATTATGAGAAAACATAAATATAAGAGTTTAATTCGGTTATAATGTTCGGTGCTGAATAATATCTGGTGTTAAAACCTCAACCTAAAGTATTTCGTGAACAAATAATTTGTTTTCGAGTTATGATGTTCCAACATGTTGATTCAATGGTTCCGAGATATCCGTTTATTATACTTTATAGTCAATTGTGCTGCATGACATGACTTCCGCTAAGTGCATACACTATTATCGGTAATATCCCCTTTTTGTTATGACAAACGAACGCCGATGCAAATATTTATGTGACGGTATATTACATTGTGGACAATGTCCAGTGATTTTTGTAAAATTGGACTGTCTTCTTCCAAGCTTACGCAAGAAGACTGCTAAATCATTGAACTGGTAACAATCGAATTCAGAAAACAGACAGATGTTAGAAGTTTTGGAGTACGCTTCGCTTATATTGCGAGAATTTTATATTTGTTCATATTATAAAATAAATATTCAAATCTATATAACGCCCCGTATATTTCAAATCCTACAAATTGTGTTATCGTAAATTACACGTAAGGTTCATTCTTCTGTGAAACAAGTTTTGAGAGTGCTCATAATTTCCACATTGTGAGCGAATCGAGATGGGAGGAGGAAGGAGGCAAACGCATAAATTTAATTACGTTAATAGTGAGTGAGGGCGCTTGTTCGAAACCATCTGTACAAACTAAACAAATTATAAATGGAAAACAAAAAATTTCCTATCATTAGTAGCCAAGTGAAAAACAAAACAAAAGGATAAAAATACTTATCTATGTTATGCCTAAACTGCAAAGGATTCAATTTATATGTCGTTGACCACCGCTGTGTTCCCGCCGCTCGTTTGCCCCCATTTTCTTATTAAAAAAACATGGATAATATCCCAACAAACGAGGTCGTTAGTCGGTCCCGATATCCTCGAAATTAAATATCTATTGCGGATCCTGGCAAAGTTATAATACATCATTAATCCAATTCAATCTATTCAATACCAGTTAGCTCGAAAATGATTTATCCTCCAATGATACTTCTATACACAGTAACGATACATAATAAGGTGCTATTACTGAAGGAAAATGAGGAATAACAAATTATTTAAACCGAATACGTTGTCAATTCAATGGGTAAATTTCCTAACCTTTTGCTTTGTAACCTTGTAATGAATGTTTTCTTTGACACGCAAGAAATTCTGTGTTTTAATTTTTAGTGGAATAACTAATCAGATTTAAAAAAAAAAACTCATAATTTAATGTAAAAATTTGAACTTGTTAATTAAAAACTTGGACTGACTGTACCCGAAGGACATTAGACTGGTAATCGCCAGTTCATTCGTTAAAATCAGCTTAGGCTACGTGAGTGTCTATGTAATGGCATACTTACAAACTCACATACCAAAAAAAATTACACACGTCCTTAATAACTCAGACAACAAAGGGCTGGGATTCGTTAACAAAATAGAAATCAAAATGTATTAAAAGAACAATCTGATGGAATGTTATATTTGTGACACCATAAAGGACTTACGTAAAAGACAAGATTTTGAACAGAAGTCCTCGTTAGTTGATTTGAGTTGACAAATATAGAAACAACAAATATCCTTACTTAATACTGATTTGCAATACTCGATATTCGTTAGTAATTCAAACTGGCCTAGATCTAAGTCGCCAATATTTCAATTACACACCTTAACGTTTAAAAATTGTAGATTTTTATTCGTATTTCGGAATTCGCAAACAACACTTTTAAACTGATATCGTGCGCTCGTATGAAACTTTAAACGTATGCAATGCCACCAGGTCAAACTTTTTTTAGGTAACTGGGTCTCTGCATTAAATACTTTAGTTTTAATTTAAAACATTTTAATTTTCTTTAAACTTAACACGTAAATGAGTATAAAGTATATGTGAATAGAAAAGTAGAAGTGAAAAAAAATTAACATTCTTTGTGTCTTAATTAAAATTGTTGTGTTTTTTTAATCAATAGTCTTTAAAGTTACTTACATATAAATCCAATAATTAAAATTCATTGTACAATGTTAAATGTTCTTGTTATATGTTATTTATCCATGTAACTATTGTCATGTTCCAATATCTATCGGTAAGTAAGCAAAATAGCTATACGTAATGGTACAGTTTCGATGTAAAAACCAATAGAGGGTTAAATGAAAAGATTTTGTTCCTTTTACGTACCAGAACTACGCTATAGGAATTACTTTCCAAATACCTCACTAAATATATTGGCTATATTACATTCCATGTCGTACAAAATGGTATCGATTACAGCAATATTTCGTACATGAATCATTCTGCAGAATCTTAATATCTTTTAAAGATCAGAATTTAATTGTCATATAAAGACACTGACTATTATGCAAATCCTATCTTATAAATCTCCACGAAAATCAACATTGCATCATCATCAATCCGAGTCTTGAATTATTAACCGAAAGATCAATTCCTTTCTTGAAGTGGTTACTTCGTTCGCTATTTAGCGATACCAAGAGGCCACTTGCTCGTTCGCTACCTTTTAATAAAAACTCTACATGTTTTCTGGTATGTGTACTCTTACCATAACATTTTCGTTTTCAGAAGAGCCTGTGTGTCCTGCCCCGATCCGACGGCCCCCGGTGGCTCGCCAGGCCGCAACTCCGGCGCCCTCTACCGACCCGCGCCGCCGCGTCCATCGCTGCGAGTTCCCCGCCTGCGATAAAGTGTATACTAAAAGCTCGCATCTCAAGGCGCATAAGAGGACGCATACTGGTAAGTTTACATAGTACACAATTTAACTATTTCAGTGCTACCGATTTCAAACGAAATCGTGGAACGTGTCAGCAGCAATACTTCATTCACATATATAGTTGCTATCGTTCTTCTAAGCTTCGGCTGTCTTCTCATTTTTGGGAAATTGAGAATCATTCTAAATCCAACAACAAACAATACCGTGAATAAAAACTACACTAGCTATCACTTGTTGTGGATATAGTATGAGGTTCAATCGCTGATGTTGTCTCTTGAGTCTTCGTAACGTTGTCAATATTTAAAGAGGTCAATGAACTTGTTCGTAAAATAGATAATCTTAGATAAATGTTTTTGTTTATTCTAAGGCAATATATTGAAGAAAAATAGGTTGAAATTACATTAACAGATTTCATGTAACAGTGTTAAGCATAAGCAAATACGCTAGCCTAATGCAGATGAAAGATTTTGAAACGGGTCAGCATCGTGAATACTTAATAAATAGAATTTCCCTCTATCTATTCTAATATAATAAAGCGTAAACACACACTTCTTTGTTATGTAGCACGTCAGTATTCACATCATGTTTTTGAATTAGAAATTCATTTCAAATACTTCTATAATTAGTTGTGATGTTACATCTATTTATAATCTAGGACTGTTTACGTTTAAATTGAATCAAATGGCATTTTTGTTAGAAGTGGTTTAAAAATTGTCGATATATTAAAAAGACTTTTTAATGGAGTATCAAGGTTGTTTGTATGTTGTACACTTTTATAGAACACTATAATTAACGAATGTTAGTTTAAAATAATCTTTGAATGCTCTTTGATCCAACATCAAATGGATTGCCATACATCGCGTGTTGTGTTAGAACTTCCTGTCCCACTGCGCTCATACAATTAACAATGTACATTCCATTTTATTTTATTTAACAATTAATTATCAAATTTATTAATTTATTTAGTAAATATGCATACATTTCTATTCTCCTAATATAATCTGCGTATCACATTACGTGTATAGGTAGCAGGAAATAATAAATGAAAATAACGCTTTACAAAAATCTGAACATGCATATGTACTAATTTTCGCCACGTAGATATACATTTTCGACTAGAAATTATACAATGTTGTAATGAAACACTATTTTTTTTTTCGTGGGAATCGAAATCGTTTCATATTCAAACAATGTTTTGACGGAATGTTGACAATGAAATGAGTAATTGCTTGTATAAAAAAAAGAAAGTCCGAAATAAATTTGTAAAATATGTTTTCGCGGGAGTTGTCACATTGCAGTAGTGGTACCACATTTATGAGATTAGCTACTGCGCTCTCATTTCATCTGGGAAATAAAACTCCGCGCGGCATCCGAGTTAAAAATACCACGAAATAAAAATATGATAGTCGGTCATTACATTAGTGAGGGGAGCATAAACCAAGCGATACCACGTGTTGAGACGATACATTCCGAGGAACAGTGCTCAGAATCGACACAAAGTTTCTATATGAAATTCCAATATACTTCTAAATCGTCCGAATGTCATTATTTTATGATAACTAAGTAATATAAAGTTACAGTTTGGTACGAAAAATTTTGTTTTATAGTATAAATCTGTTCCAAATATATCGTACTATTTATACGAGAATGTTTTTGGTTCAGTGAGTATAGATTCATTACAGAGCGCAACTCGTAAGATTGTCTTATATTTTCTTTTAACGAATTCCATGTTTGTGGTTACAGGTGAGAAGCCGTACAAGTGTTCGTGGGAAGGTTGCGAGTGGCGCTTCGCCCGGTCCGACGAGCTGACCAGACACTACCGCAAGCACACTGGTGCGAAACCCTTCCGCTGCCGCCACTGCGAGCGGTGCTTCTCCCGCTCCGACCATCTCGCGCTCCACGCCAAGCGCCACACGTAGATAGCTAACCAACCTGCCACTCCCCAGACGCGACAGCATTAAGCCGAACCCACAAGCGTTTCCAGTTTGCTTTAGCGTATCACATCGGCGCGCGCCATTTTATTTCAGAGCATTATTACGTTTGTTACGTTTTGTGATTTATTTAAATTGAGTGAAGATTGCTCGTTTTATGTTGGTTTAAGTTTACGCGGTTTTTGTAGCGCGCGTCCCTGGGGATGGATGTGTTCACAGAGCGTTGCAAGCCAAAGAATATCGCTACGATCCGTAGCCGAGTCAACACTCATTGCACCTAATGCTTTAAAGTTATTTTTAATATCATTTTTATTGTCGAAAAAGTTTAAACTCTTTGATGTTTTGGCCTCTATCGTTGCGGTATTTTGTTGCAATATGGAAACATTTTATATTTGCCGTTGTTTATTGTGTAAAAGATTTTGTAAGCTTTGTGTACAGAGAGGTTTTTTTTATTTGGCGTGGTCGCAAAGCGGCCGTGCGCCGAAAGTTGTGCCATCATTATCGTAGCGGTCGACGTTCGGGGGAGCGGTGCGGAGAGCGCGGCGCAGCGCAAGCCGCTTGCAAGTCCTACGCACCGTATTCCCCTTCGTCAACTCGCATTTCACATCACGTGACATATTATTTATTGAAACGCGGGATGTTCGGCAGATATTCCCACCGACGCCCAGCACAACCCTAGTTTTAAGCTTAGTAGGATGTGCGTCGCGTTACCTGATGTTGTGCTGATATTTCGAAACAGTTATTGGCAAAATGGTTAGTTTTATCACATCATCTTTAAAGGTCGATTACTTACATTATACGACAAATTTCCATAACCACCTCAATGACTGTTTCGAAATATTGACAAAAACTTTTATTTTTATTTTGTACTGTGTTTATTTTTAAGGTATTCGTAAAAGCGATATATTTAATTTAAGCTTTCTTTTACTCTTTCATTCCGACGTGTGAGCCCGCGGTGTTCCTTACATTGTTTTTTGTGTTTGTAAGGAAATGTCTGCTTACTTATTGTTCACTGCGGGCTTGCATTTAGATTATAGCTCGTACGCCTTTACACATGTAGTAATATTAAAAAACTTAATATAATTTATCTATGTAACAATATATTTATATTCATTAAGTCGAATACGTACCTATACATATATATCTTGAATTCACATAAGCTAATTGTGTAAAGGCGTTCATAAACATAATTTAATGACAAGTTGATTCTGAAACACAGTCGCTATTTTTTAGTCAAGTATCATAATTGTAAGGCTTCATAGTAGATTCGATGTTAATATTGATGTGATATTAAAGTCTCAACACGCTCTAGACACCTATTGATACATACATGATTTCGATGAAAACATTTTGACATCGAAATTACAGAAAATCCTCACATTCAATCATTTCCCAATAAAAAAATTACATTTCTAAGAACACGAAACAGAATTAATATATATACGGCTACGCTTCACAACGACAAAGTGAAAGACTTTGTGGATACAGGGTGTTGTAATAATAGTGTTTTCAAAACGGGCTCAACATTATAGAAAAATTTTGACATAAACAAGTAACAATTTCCCGAAGTTTCTTTTTATTGCTTTTTCATATTGATTTATAATGTAAGTAAAACGACTGTTTTAACTGAGTGCTTAAATAAATTGTAATAGGGCGAGATTTCTTTAATGGCTGGTGATGTGGTAACTCAGTGATTGAATCTTCGTGCTCTATGTGATTAAGCCGGTGGCCAATGTTGCTGTCTTCCCGAATTTGTCAAAATTTTAACATTAAACGTTCTCGGGACTAGTGGCCAAGTTAAATCGAGTTTCGGAATTATATGCCCTTTAAATGTTCAATAACATATATGCATAGGAAATTTGTGTGCACTAAATTGCCAAATGCACTACTATTTTAGGTATAAAAGAAACAATATAAAAGATCTTTAACATATTTAGACTTCGACTTCGAAATGTTTCAACTGATTTTTTATAACTGTGTAAAATTTTATGGGTACTATATAAATTATATTAATGTGTATAAATATACATAAAATTTTGAACCGAATGTTGTAGAAAATTATCGTCTGGTTCCTAACTATAATTACTATAAATTTCATAACTGCGAAACTATAAAATGGTTGTTTATTATTTTCAAAGTAGGACCTTGTGTCAAAACTTTTGATAATTTTTTTGTACAGATGGTACATAAAATTTGTAGAACGTTTTGTTATAAGTTTTTTTTTTATTAAATTTATTCGATGTTTACATAGTTTTATGTCTCATATCGCTTTTAGTAGCCATTTTTATTGAAAATGTATATTTCTTAACAATCTTATTCATAATACAACTTACAGTCTGATTCAAAAAAATAACATTAACATGATTCTGAACATTAACGATTTACAAAAGACCGCTATATCTAAATACAATTATTTTAACACATTGTTCTTATTTAAAAACAAAATTGTACAATAAAATTTTCATTTAAAAATGCATGTCTTAAATTTTGGCATCTTAACAGATGCTAATTTTTAATTAATATTGAAAGTTTTGTATTATGAATAAGACCATAATTTCCTGTTAAAGATAAATTTAAGAAATACTTAAAATGTGATTCAGGAGTTTATTTAATATATATGTATGTAGAAAATTAAATATAATAGCTAAAATATGGCATATAGAAAAAATATGGAGAATTTTCGTGTATACATGTGCTTCAAGGTATATGATAGGTAAAAGATAGGTGTGGTTAGATGTCAAATATTGTATTCTTTGGCACTTGGGCTAACAACTGCATGTTAGTAGATTAGTAGCAAAAATATTATATTAAAATATTGGCGTTTATCAAATATAAATGTATAGTTATATAAATTTATTATTAATTAAAATGTTAACAAAATTTTGATATAAAAGTTGCGGCTGTGTGATAAAGAATCAACCTGTATATAGATATACGTATGAACCTACTGAACTGTAGAAGCACGCTTTAATTGTGAAGTTTCTTCGTTCTATAATAGGAATATTTCTATATTCTTGTATAGAAAATCTTGCTTTTTATAGAATTTTGAGTATGAGTTTATATTAAGATGTATTATTGTTAAATGTCTTTTCAATATTACAAATTGAAAACCTCTTATAAACCTGTATTAAGTTTTCTTATTTTACATTTCTGTAATTTCACAAATTTATATTAATAAGATAAGCTTTGTAAAACCTATTTTTATATGATTTAACGCACAATACCACTACTATTTTCATAAACTATTTTATTTTCTACTTATATTGACAGGGTTGTCATTTTGAGAATTTAATGACTGGTGGAATTAACTCACTTTTTGCAAACTTATGACCGTAATCTAAATATTTCAACTAGTTAGAATATAAGAGCATGTTAGCATTTTCATTTTAAATTCCTTTAAATCTAGCAAAGATTTAAGAATTACATGTATATGTAAATTATTACAAAGATGTGATGGTTTACATTTTGTTTTATTTTTAATTCTAATTTCTTGGCAATGTAGACAGTGCATGGACATATTTGTCGTTGTTGAAAATGCAATTTTTGTTTGTAAGTTACATTCCATAGTGCTTCTATGTCGGTAGGTTGATGCATGAACAAGGTGTATTACTGTGCTATGAACAAACGGACGGTTGAACTGATATCCTGTGTGTTTGAAGTCAAGATATATTTTTTTATATCTTGTAATATTTAATATAAATGATTGATTGTTCAACCATCCGTATAATTCAATGATATCAGTATCAATAGATGTTTAAAATATAATAGGGTAATTGACATTATTTTTAATTTTATGCCATTTAAGGTGCAAAATTTTGTGAAATCTCCTTAGTGATTTACATATATGTATAAAACCCTGTCAAATGTCGTTCACTCATTAACACTAATATCTGTGATTAATAATAACATTGTTTGTAAACTATCCGGATTATTATTTTTAAATGTATTTATCTCTCTCTCTGAATAACCACATCATTTTTTTAATAAATTTACAAAAGTAATGTACAATAAGTCATATGTTAAGTAAATATTACATAAAGGATTATAATTGTGAACTATTCTAAAGTCTTTTTTGAATAATCTATATATTAAAGATTGTCATACTGTGGATGCACAAAAACAACCTTAATTATTTCAGTCATTTACCCTATTGCATAATTTGTGTGACTAGTAGTTTATGGTAAATGTACGTGTAATGATTATAAATGTCTGTGTCTAATTGCGATATTCTATTACATTTTTATTATATAATCTCTTAAGAAAACTTTGGATTGTATTAATACAAATAATATATAAGGTTGATTCTCGGTTATATTTTGATTCCAACAAACACCGGTTTTAAAAATATTTTAATTAGTCTATTTGGTAAATGTAAATGTTTTGAACATGAAAAATTTTCTCTTGGAATTTATAAAATTGTTACTTATATCCTAAAAACGTTGGAATTGATGTATAACTATGATTAATTATCTAATATCATATTTAATATACGATAATGTATGTTCAATGTCTTGTAAACACAAGGATATCCCTTCATTAATATATGTATCTCATAGAAATGTAATAAAAGAATAACGGCTTTTTGTCTTGTCCGCCGTGTTTGTACAAACCTACATGTCTAATTTCCTAACATATTTACTATTAATAGCATATATCTGTTTTACGTTCTCGTATTTAATTTCCGATGTGTATTTGGTGGAATGTTGTGAATTTAAGTATGACCCGTTGTGGCGAGTCGAGTTATGTAGTGTATTGCATTTTATATTAATAAATTTTTTCTTATATGTGGTACCGTATGTTTCTTTTATTCATTCTAACTTTCTATTTTCAATACACCTGTTTAAAGATTTTTAACAGAATACGTTGGTAAACATTGACAAGTAATTTCATGTTAAGTGATTTCAAATAGACATCCACAAGAAATTAAATTGCAGATTCGTTGCTTACTTTTGTATAGGGAGAAAATACGCAATAGTATGATATATTCCTTTTCTATTGCAACCTGATTAAAAACCGTGAGAAGAGGACGTACATCAGCACACTTGAATCCACCACGTACGCGGAATGACTTAATTAACACTAGTTTTTTGTTAATGATAGTATAATACTTGCCGGAAAATCAATTCGTGCAACAACCGCTGTTAAAACCGTAAAAGCGAAACGTTTAAGAATCCACATTTGCTTGCACTGTCCTAATATTTCGTTTTATTTTCAGCAATGTTTAAGAGTCAACACATGCCGGGTTCAGTGATTATAATAGAGGCAAATAGGTCAAACACTAATTCGCGCATCCGTAGAATGCAGGCGCGGAATGCATTGCTTTCTGTCACGGCGTAGAAAATCAATTTCGCTGCCAAAGATAACTCGCACCTGAACCAAAACGTTTACAGCTCATTTGGTACAAACCAATAAAACGATATTATTATGAGTTTAGAATTTCACTTTTAATTAAAAGAAATTGGTGTATATAGTCTTAAATTATAGAAAAGCGCATATAAGAAACAACATCACGATATATTTTAGGACCTGTTATCTTAGCATCAATGTAACATATAACACAAATACTTACATTCTTGTTAAATAACTTTAAATACAGCATTTTAACACAAAACAGCTCGACTAAACACGACAGCGACACCTTGCGAAATGGACTTTTGACTTGACTGATATATGTTGTATCGCGCGTGTTTCCAGGGTCCGAAGTGAATACATCTCACGGTTATTACGATACCTGCAAACGACCAATGGTATAAAATGCAGGTCGTTTCCATGGCAACGATCATTATAATTTATGGATCTTTCAACAGAGCAACAAGTTAAACAAAAACACCGACGCGGAAACAGATACTCAAAGATGCGCGAATAAAAGTGCGCTAAAATCAAATACAATAATTAAATGAGATCGATGATATCGCAGGTAACAGAGATGGATATTCTTTTTACCCTATTTACCTATTTCGCGCGTTCATGTTTATATTTGTGGGTTTTTATGTATGTACATTCTGTTGTGTTGGTCTAGAGTCTAGAGAATAGGATGTCATTCGGTTTGTCTTCTTCGCCGAAGTGGCATAGGTTATAATTTAATTCCACTAGAACGGAGTTGGGGCCGAAAGTTAGTCTAAAAAATTCTTGTTGCTGTTTAGTGAACAACGCAAAACTGTCATAAAGCGACATCTTTTTCTTGCACTAAAAACTAAGACCAGCTCTTAAAATAAGCTTAAATTGTGTGCACCATTTTTTGTATAGATGGCGCTAAAATGAGTACTAATCCTACCAAAAGCTATCAACACGGAATGTATTATTAGAAAACATAAATAATTTAAGATTATTGTATTATTTACTGATATAATATCACATATTAGTCGGGAAATAAAATAACTTCATTCATGGATGGTTCTGTTAATTGATTATAGGTGGCGCTAGGATTTATAATGTTACAATATCTCGCGATGACAGAAAAAAACTGTGTAAGCCACAAGTCATTCAATGTAAATAAAAAAAAAACATATATTTTAAGACTTTTTAATGTGTTATTGCAAAACGCATCTACTAAAAGTATCATAAATCCAAGACTCATGTATGCAAAGAGATAGCTTTGATACTGCAAACCAGTCTTGATATAAATTCTCATGGGAGTAGGTAATTTAAACTAACATTAAAAGATACAATCAGCACAGCCAGCTGAGAGATGAGTGTCTACTCTAGCTAAATTGTTTATACATCTAGTTTTCGATTCCAGTAATATTCTTTGCTAACATTGCTGAAAAATACAAAATGCAATAACAAACAGCAATTCCATTTTAAATATTCATTTAAGTAGTTGGATTTGGATTGCACTGCGTAGTTCGTTTTACACCTGAAACATTGCAGTGCAATTTAGTTTCATTCAAATTTTATTTCTACCTTCACAATAAACTTACCTCGGCCAGACTGTCTCGGCTATTTGCAGCTTCTGTAGTTATATCAATCTTAAAACAGTTTTATTGTTGTACTTTGTAAATAAACAAGCATTTACGCCTACGCAGAGGTTTAATTTGGTTGCAATTAAATGCGCTATACTCGTAGTATAAAAAACTATTCATTATTGAATTTATGGTAGTCAGCTCGAGAAATACAAGTTGTATATTTATTGGTTGGAAACATTTGAATAAACATGTATTGTTATCTCTTTCTTTTTTACAAAGGTCCGAGCAAAAAAATTTGAGAGGAAATGTATCGTCATTTGCAAAATAAAGAATTTGTGCACTCATCGGGCATCACACCTAAAATAATTAAGTAATTAATTAAGAACACAAACTTGATTTTGACATACAGGTAAGTAGATTCAGATTACTGTCAATTAAGTATGATCGAATAGATGTCACCTTAAATTCTTGTTGAGAAAGATTTCGAAGAGGTTCGATAAAATAAAGTTTGTGCTTGCTAGTTTCTTAGTTACTTTTAAATCCGACAATGGCTCTACACAAATCCCATACTTTAACGATAAAAAAAACATACTATCCGTAAAATCTCTGCCCCTTTTTTTTTAAATAAACGAAGATGTATGTTTCCCCTATGTTCCTCAATGTATTCCAAAGGACGGATTCTATTGAAATGTTCGCAGGGTCTTCAAGAGACCCTTGGTTGTTATGTCACTTAAAAAAAATAAGTTACAATTTAATTCATAAAATTTTTGTATTTATTCATACCTAAACAAAACAACTTGTACGGATTTTAGAATCGTTATTATCACAGAGACATCGTAGATCAATTCGGTCGTCTCTAATCTCTTGACATATTTTTAGATCGACTTCCAAGTAATGGATATAAGAGCGGAGTTCAATTCTTATATGATATCAATTTAATTGATTATATAATAATTACAAAATTGCTGAGGACAATGCTCGAGGAGGTAACAGATTCAAGTTACTACAATCTGTCGCCCACAAACTTCGTTAGCGCGAAATTTACAAAGAAGGTCGTCTGTAACGTTTCTGCATGCATCCAAAAAAGTTATTTTTTCAATATTTTGAGATAATTAGAGCTGTGACTATTATTACATGTTTTACATAAAGCTTCAGCAGAAAGTGCAAATGTAAGTAGAAACGTACAGAGTTACGATGTTGCGTTTATTCCAAACATACGAATATTTAGTATTCATTTTGTATTTCGCAGTCAAATCCATAAACAAAGGCTGCAAATTATGGTGTCTATTCATATTTTGCATACGCAGAGTGTCACGTATAGTGTTTGAATGGAGCCCTTCGAGGAATAGCAGAATTTCTCAAACACGATAGATTAGTTACATCATAGTATGAAATACTGATATCCTATTTAGCATGACACTGTGCAGTAACTGTATATGGAAATAGCACCTCAAAACTGGTGTCTATGAAACCGAAATATATCGGAAAATTTGGGTATTTCCCAATGTTAGGAATAATCGTAGTCGAAATAACATTTACCATTTAATTTATTTTTAATTAAAAATTACTTTATGACCATCAACTCCATGTTTACTTAAAATATGACAAATTTCGTGTTCAACAAAAGAAATGTAAACATTTCTGTGGACAATCCAACTCAGTAATTCAAGGTATTTCTTTGTTATTTGGATACCTTTATTAATTCAGTGCCTCGAAAAGCATACTGCTAAATACAACAACAGACCGGCGGCGGGCTGCGGAATCGACAGCTTGAAGCGTTCGACGTTCAACTGACAGCATATTTTAGGGGCGGCTGAAAATGCGATTCGCGTACAGCAAACCTTAACTTCAGGTCGATATCAAATGCTTGTAATTTACTAAGATAGTTTCTTAAAATTTAAAAAGCTTAAACTTTAATTTATGTTTTTCATGTTTTACATGAATCTATATAGTAATGGTTGCACACTCATTGTCGATTATGAAATTTATGTTTTATTTTTAGTTAATTGTTTAATTGTGTCCTTAAGTAACATATTTTTGTTTGTAAATGTACTCCGCAATCC